ATTTTATTTATAAAACATTTAGTTTGTTTTTTCAATTTTTTTAATAAGTGCAGACTTACTGATAATCATGGTATAGAACAATAAGTTTTGCAGTGTGAAATAAATATAATTGTACTTGATTGAATAAACAAAGATGATACTGATGCTTCAAGTGAATTAAGTATTTAAAATGCAATTCATGGTTTGGAACAGATGGAAAGAAGGGGCAGCAGCTCAGTAGGTAATTTGGAAAAGTTATTGGTAAAATGATTGTGTACTCATGTTATAGAGCAACCCCGATATTAAACGGGTTCCTGGCTGTGGGTCCTCACCCGCACGCTTTAAAGGGACTTATGAATACTCTACTACAGACACACACAAAAGGGTTAATAAAAGGTTTATTTACAAGAGAAAAAAGAAATAAGGAAAATGTACAACTCAGGGAGAAAATAGGGAAATAAAGTCTTTAATGCATCCTACCTGATCCGATGACCTGGAAACCCAAAGTCACTCTCAGAGCTGGCCGGACGCTGCGAGCTGGCGGAGAGCCAAAAATGGGGGATTCCCCAAAGCCCACGTGTCTGCCTTTTGTATCCACCTGGCTGCTTAACCCCACCCTCAGGTCTCAGCCACCTTCCCTTTGGTGGTGATGGGATTTGGAGTTCCCAGTGTCTTTGGCTTTGACCTGGGGTGGGGGTGGAGTCCACAAAGCCTATATGGAATTTGCTTTGGGACATCCTTTTCCCCCTAACACTCATAGGCTGGGTTTTGTTTTCAGTGACAGCCAGGGTTGTGGCATATAATATATAATTTTTGCCTCAAAAGAATTTTCAAATATTTTTTTCAGTAACTCACGCCCTCATTTTATAAAAGTTGACTTGGTAGGAACAGAGGAGAAAATAAGCAAACCTCAAACTATCACTAAAATACACTTTGCCTCTGGAAAGCATTCTCCCTCTGAGATGCCAGGACACTAGGCTAGAGTACTTCCTCTAACCTATTTTTGTACAATACAAATCTCTAACTCTCTCAGGTACAGCACTTCTTAGAGCTCTTTCATTTATAAAAATATATCTTGTATGAATTTGAGACATAGGGCCAGATCCGTATCTTTTGTAACTCCCGGGGAATACCTACTCATCAGACCTACTTACACTGTATTTCCCTAGAGCTGGGGGAATGAGATTCTGGCCTGTAGTAGTTTATTCTCTAGCCTGAGAGTGCGCTAACATTTTCTGGGACTTCATAATTTGAAAATCTTATTGTCCCCATTTTCTTTTCTTCTAACTTAGTTCAGCTAAAGTCTAAGTCTGATAGTTTTGTTTGCTGTTAACTTTTATCCTTGACTCCTTTGTACTTTATCTTTTCTGTAGTATTACTGATGCTCTGACATTCAGTGACTTTTTTTTCTATTTTGCCTATATGCTGAAACAAACAGGAGTAATAAGTATAAGGAAATGCTTGAATTCATTTTTAGTAAACATAGATCACCAATATTTTAAAGAAAGAAAAACAGTGTCAGAAATCTTCCCTTTTTCCATGCCATATAAACTTAAGCTGAAGACAAAAATATTTTATTTATTTTATGTGTAAGTACATACATAATAAATTTTTATTTAATATACATACATAGAGAGGCAGAGAGACAGCACATAGTAAGAAACCAATTGTCATTAGAATAATAATCAACTGAAACAATTATAGCAACTCATTGGAAAATAATAATCTATTTCTTAAGTATTTTTAACTATTTTTGCAGCTTCTTCATATCATTCTCTACTGAATGATCTATCAAATTGATCTGAGTGGGAAAAATAATTTTATAATACATGAATGTACTCCAAATTTTTGTTTATTTTTAACTTGAATTGTCTTGACCTCTGATTATGTCACTAACTTTATGTAACCATCTTTTTATAGATTAATTGTCAGATTATTAATGTAATCTATTAAGAAACAAACTTCTATTTGGCTGGGGCTGGCACTGTTTTAATCAATTGGAAAATAAAAGTAGAATACAAAAGATACTTTAAGAGAATTTGCATGAGAGAAGAGACATGATAAAAAATATAAATGAGAAAACAATATGGTATGGCTCTAGTAACAAGCATAATAAAGAAATAAAAGAAAAAGTAGAGCAGAGAGAGGGGAAGCAAAGTTGCAGTTTTAAATAGGTGATTAGAATTAGATTTATTAGGAAACTAATATTTTAATAACAACTTCAGTCATCTGCAAGAAAGTGACTTTTGAGATATGTGGGGGAAAATATTAAAGGTAGGGTCAAAAGTCAATGAAAGAGCTCTTAGAGGGGGTGCATTCCCAGCATGTATTAAGACTATTGAGGAGGAGAGTGTAGCCACAAATTATGAGCAAGTGAAGAAATTAAGGAAATAAAGTGTGGAGAGGTAGGTGCAGATCATATTGGGCCTTGGAGGCACTTTGCATACTTTGACATTTCCTCTGAGTAAAATGAGCATCCATAGAAGGTACTGAGCAGTGGGATGGCATAATCTGACTTATCCTTTACAGATTTCACTGTGGTAGCTGTGTTGAGAATAGACTATGCAATGCAAGGATCACATCCATGAGGCCACTTAGGAGATGGTTGCAGTAAGCCCAGCCAGAGAGAAGGGTGACTTGAACAGGGCTCTAAAAGTAGAGTGTAAATAATGGTTAGATTCTGTAAATATTTTGAAGTTAGAGACAAAAAGTATTTTCAACTTGGTTTTGGAGTTTGAAAGAAAGGTGTCACTTCTTAACTAAAAAGTGAAAAAGTAGTTATTAAGAGAGATGAGAAAGGTGAATGAGATGAACAAGCAAGGAATCAGAGAAATAAAATTTTTGATACATTGAGTAGGAAGCACCTTGTGAATACAACTACAGCAGTGATACAACACACACTTTTTTTTAAATTTTTTTTTTTAAGATTTATTTATTTACTTATACAAGCACTGGGTACAGTCAGAAGCGCAGTAGGGTGAGAGAATTCACCAGAGACAGAGAGGGGAGCAGAACAGGCAAAAGGACTGAAGTACACTGCTGAGGGAAGGAGCGGGCGGCAGGAGAGGTCTGCGTGCCATGTGGGACCCCTCGCCGGTGGCCGGGAATGGAACAGGTGCTGCAGAGGCTGCAGGCAGCTTCGCAGCCCAGCGCTCAACCCCTGCGCCACCAGGGGAGACCCTGATATAACACACACTTAATAAAAAGAAAGGTATTCTAACTCCAACTATTTTCACCTTTAAAATTTATAGACTTTGGAAATCGAAGCCAGTTATTACAGTCTGTGCACAGGTTACAGAGCCATGTCTTATGAAGTAGAAAGTCCAAGCCCCTTTAATTATGATACTTATGTTTTTGCCCCCAACTTAACATGGGATGCATGTAATATGTAGGATGAATGAATATGCTTGCAGACCCCTTCTTAGAAATGCCCAAAATTTCATTGAAACTAAATACCTATGAATATTCCCAAGAATATATATATCATCTCTATAAAAAAAAATTACAATTTGGAAAGCCTGCTTATGGTCATAAAGATGACCTTATTCCTGGTTTGCCCCAACTCAGTTAAAGCTCAAACTAGTGCTTTAATGTCCTTATTGGCATGTATGAATGAAGGATCCTTGAACAAAAGATCCTTTGTTAGTGCAAACTCAGAAGAGAGCAAGCACTGACCAGGTTACTGTGTGTTCTTCCTGCAGTATAATATTCCCCAGTGATCCAGGTCAGTAGAGCAAAGGTCTCAACAGTGAAAAGATTCATTAAAAGGCTAATAAATCTTTTTAAAAAATCAAATATATTAATTAGTGCTGAATGCCAGAAAGTTATTGCTTTTCAACTTGTGTTTTAGCTCTCTCTCAATTGCTGCTCTAAACTTGAATTTCTGAGTTAAAAATGTTAATGAACCAGAATTTCTTAGAAATTTAGCTAATAATCACTGTCTTGCAATTTTAGATTTTCCCTATAGTCAATTTTGACTGGAAATAATTATGGATAGATTTCTAACCTTTCTTCCTGCTTCCATAGTATTCCTCAAAGCCTGCTCTATTGCTTTAATAAGCAGATTTATGAGGAAAAAAATCATGGAAGAATAGTTATTGACATTTACATCACCCACAAATTACATCACAAGGAGAAATTTGTCTTAGTTAGCAGTACCACTCATCAAACACAAAACAAGTTTTAGAGAAATTGATATCTGGTGCTGGTCCGTCCTGCAGGCCGACGGGGTTCAGGAACACGGCGGAGGGGCTGGGGATGAAAAGACCCGTGCACTCTCTTGGCTGGAAGCAGGAACTCTCTTTATTCGAGGGGAGGGGCTATCTCTCTCTCTCTCTCTCTCTCTCTCTCTCTCTCCCTCTCTCTCTCCCTCTCTCCCTCTCCTTCCCTCTCTCCCTCCCTCTCTCCCTCTCTCCCTCCCTCTCTCTCTCTCCCTCCCTCGCTCCCTACCTCCCTCTCCCTCCCTCTCTCCCTCCCCCTCCCCCTCTCTCCCTCTCTCCCTCTCTCCCCTCCCCCTCCCCCTCCCCTCCCCTACCCCCCTACCCCCTACCCCCTCTCTCCCTCTCTCCCCCCTCCCCCTCTCCCTCTCCCTCTCTCCCCCTCCCTCTCCCCCTCTCCCCCTCTCTCCCCCTCTCTCCCCTCCCCCTCTCCCCTCTCCCCTCTCCCCCTCTCCCTCCCTGCCTCCCTCCCTCTCTCTCTCTCTCTCCCCCTCTCCCCCTCTCCCCCTCTCCCCCTCTCTCCCCCTCTCTCCCCCTCTCTCCCCCTCTCTCCCCCTCCCCTCTCCCCCTCTCCCCCTCTCCCTCCCTCCCTCCCTCCCTCTCTCTCTCTCTCTCTCCCCCTCTCCCCCTCTCCCCCTCTCCCCCTCTCTCCCCCTCTCTCCCCTCTCTCCCCCTCTCCCCCTCCCCTCCGCTACCCCCTCCCCTCCCCCTCCCCCCTCTCTCTCTCTCTCTCTCTCTCTCAAAGCCTGCGCATGCGCTTTACGTGGATTTGCAACATCCGGTTACTGTTGCATCAGCCTCCGCTTGGGCAGAAGCGACTCATCCTTGGGCAGAAGCGACCACCACCCCAGGTCCCCCTGCTGGTGTAAGCCTGGTACTGACATCTGGAATTAAAAACAAAAAACAACCGTAAACTCCATTATCACTTATAACTTTTGCTGGAAACACAGTTTCTCTTAGACCTGTTAATTATAGGCACATTAGTGGCTCAGGAAAACTCATACTATTTTATTTGTACAATAGCACATAATTTGCATGTAAAGAAAATAATAATACCTACATATATTTTGGCACTGAAGATTTGATTTCTTCCTTTACTGAAGAGATCATGTGATAAGCAGGCTGTAGACATTTAAAGGCCATATCACTAGGGTAGCAGGTTTCCCCCTACCCCTTAGTATTTCTGTCTTTTGAGCTTTATGCTTATCATTGATTCTAGCCAGTACTTTTTTGTTCCTCTCCCTAGGCATTAAGCTCAACACAGACGAGGCATTTTAACCTAGGATAAAATTTAAACAGAACTAAAATAACATCTGCCACTTTTATCTAATCCTTAATGATCTAGATTAACCACAGAGTTGTGATTCAGTTTTGGGAATTTGTTTATCTTACTTTTAAAGAATAGAATAGAAAGTTAAATAGTATATTTATGGCCACGATAATGTAATTTTGCATATCCTTTAATGATCTTAATTTTTCTTTTTATTGAGGGAATGTTAGTTTGAACATTAGGTTCAAAGAGTACATTCTTTAACCTCAGCAACTGTGTATATCCTACCATGCCTGACACTAAATGTCCAGTAATATCACTACGAACTAATGGGTTTTCTTAACACATTCCCTCCCTTTGGTAACCAACACTCTATAGTCAATCTATGGTTTGTTCTTTTTGTTTGTTTGTTCATTTGCTTTTTTCCTTTATATTTTATGAGTGGAAACATATAGTATTTATTTTTCTCTTTTTAATTTATTTCATTTAGTATAATCCCCTCAAGTTCCATCCATGTCACAAATGGCAAGATTTCATCATTTCCGTGCCCAAGTAGCATTGCATTGTGTATATATACTGTATCTTCTTTATGGGTTCATCCATTGTCAGGCACTTGAGTTGTTTCTATATCTTGGCCATTGAGAATAGTGGTGCAATGAACCAAGGGGTACATATGTCTTTTCAAATTATTGTCTTCATATCTTTCCAGTGCATACTGAGAAGTGTGTACCTTAATGATTTTACATGTATTTTGGTAAGGAAATAATACTGTTTTTTCTTTCCTATGAATGTATACCAGTCATCTAATTTGCATTGAGAAAAATGAATTGAATGAAGGTTTAGTTATAATCTCTCATGAGTGATGATCTCATATGGAATTGATTTGCATCTATGAGATTTTAAATCAAGGAGACCAATGGGATCTTGTCATTTAAGGGAAAAAAACAAGTCTTCTGCTAAATTTGTATTTTATTTAAAAAATCAAGTTCTCTATATTAAAAGCAAAGAGATGACTTTAGTTCCTTAAAATCTTATGTGCTAGGAACTCTTCTATATACAAGCGATGAAAGAAGACCAGTAGAATTTCTGCTCCCACAAGACCTGTATTCAAGCTGCAGAAACAGAAAGTAAATATACAAATAAATGTGTCATAAATATAATATGTTAAAAATTGCTATGATGATTAAATAAGAGACTTGGTGGAGTATTACAGGCAGGGAGCTAATTATTCAGAGAACTGATGTGACCAGTGGTGAAGGGGAAGGATCTGTCAAAAGAAATTATATCTGAATTCACACCTCAGGAATGGGAAATAGGCAAGATAAACAGATGATACTTGTATTTCAAAAAAAAAAGAGGAAGGGTAAAAGTATTAAACTGATGAAAATTCATAGTGAATCAAATCAGGACTCTTAAGCAATAACTATAGCTTAATTCAAGTGGAACAATGAAACTAGAAACTGTAGAAAATTACCTACTTTATTTTTTTGCACAGAAGAACTGGGGTGTAGGCCAGAGGTGCAGCGGGGTGAGATGATTCAACAGAGACAGAGTGAGGAGCAGAACAGGTGGAGTTACTGAAATACACTGCTGAGGGGAACAGGAAATATCTGCTGTGCCAAGTGTGGGTTAGGTCCCTGGCCGGGGATCAAACTCAGGCCTAGAGGTAAAGTACTGAGACTTAACCCCTAAGCCACCAGGGATGCCCATAATTACCTATTTGACTCATTAAAGAAATATCACTAAGAAGTATGTCTTATGCCACAGGCTTTAGACCCACAAGGATCTATAGCTTCTAATGGGAAAAGATAAAATATCCCCTCAGGAGATAAAGAAGCAACAAAACCAATAGGCCCCAAAGCAGTGTAAATATAGAACTGAGTATAACAAACTTTGCAATACCTAGGAAAGTTTAAAAAAAGGAAAAAAAAAGGAGAAGAGAAAATAGGACCTGGGAATTAGAGTGACAGATAGGATAGAGGTGAAACATACATTTTCAATAGGCAAGCAATTATAACAAAATTTGATAGATTCCTAGGGGATAAAAAAAGCGCTAAATCTAGAGGATATAACTTTATTTTTGCAGCTCTCATTCAGGGTTGAGGTTATTTTCCATCAAACAGTAAATAAAATGTTATCCTTTGGGATTTTAAAACTTTTCTTTTATGAGAAATCTGTAAAACTATTGTGGGTTTCTTCTTTTGAAAGAAATCGGGATAATTACTACACAGAACAGAAATAAAAATGATCAGGATGAAAGACAATATGTGTAGTAATGAAAATGAGAAGAACTTAGCTAAGCAGGCAATAGATTTTAATACTCTGAGGTGTTAAAATTGTCACTTCTAATTTTGAAGTCAAAAGATGAAAAAAAATGTTTAAAAAGGAGGAAGAATCCACAGTAGCAATCCCTCTGCCCACCTGTGACTACGCAGGTGCTTCTTTTTACCAACTCTCCTCTGCAGGGCAGCAGCCTTCCCGCCTGCCTGTAATCTGTACCATGCTGGGACTTTTCTTCACTGACCTCCCTCAGCGGAGGCCGCTTTCCTCAAGACTGACCACCTGCAACCATGCAGGCCTCTCTTAGCAAACCTGTCCCTATAGGGCAGCTCTTCCTGCCCACTTGTGTCTATGCAAGTGTCCTTTGTTCGTCTGTCCCTTTTCTTAATAAACCTGTCCTTTAAATATAAAAAAAGAAAAAAGAAAAAAAGAAAAAGAAATAAAAAGAAGGAAGAATCACCATTTTTAGAAAAAAGGCAAAGGCAGAGATTAAATAAGAGACTTGGTAGAGTCCAGAAGAAATTTTTTAATTCTTTCTTTCTTGAGTAATACTGTTACAAATCCTAAAGTGTCTTTGTCTGACTTTTGCCAATTAATTCCCCACAAATTCAAAGGTGCAATATTTATTGTGGCTCACACTGTAAGAGAAGGGCAAGATGTATCCTGAGCCATGTTCTGGCCTGAGAGTGGCAGGGATCTTGGCTTTACTTGGCTGATTATCAGGTTGGGGTAGCAGAGACCCAGTTTTGAGCTGGGCAATAATATGAGCGCATGCACAGAGACGCCCATGCTCATACCTCCCATGACTCATTAGCATCTTGAAACTCCATCTAGGGGTGTGGGTTTTAGAAAGCTAAAGAGATATAGATCACTTCTAATTCAGTCTTCTGCTATCAGCATCTGCATGGACATCAGGTTCTGCAAATTTTTCCTGAAGACAAGAAACCTCTGCAGGGTTCAACATCTATTTCTCACTGGTGATTTGAAGACTGGTTCTAATAGCTGATGGGCACAAGAGCAGGAAGGGTAGGTCAGCAAGGTCTAGGGATCCTGCAACAATACTGCAATGCATAACATAATCAACAGCCTCTGGAATGAAAAAGCTTAAGCTTTTCATATTATTTTCCTATAATATTTTATTTTGTATGGTTCTTAAAATATTCTTTGATGAAAAACAAGGTCAAAATTAAAATTCAACACATTGAAGAGAAGCTTTTTTTAACTAAAATATTATACTTAAAAGATGATGTTTCCTAATCATCAGGTTTTATGCAAAGATAATGTGAAGAGTGCTAAGGACTACACATCTTCAGAAAAATTTTCTAAATTCTTTTCTCAGCTGGACTTTTGATAAAAAATGTTTTATTCTCTCTCTTTTTAAAAATATTTATTTTATTTAGTTATGCATACAAGAACTGGGGTTTAGGCCAGAGGTGTGAAGGACTACTCATTTCTACATCAGTTTTGTCCATTGTTGAGATCAGAATTTTCTTTTGAAACCATCCTCAGTCCATTTCAACATTTTGCCTAATCGTTTCATATTGAAGATTCTATAACATAAGCAATAAAGAAATAATTTGATTTAGGTAAATATTTTTGTGACTCCACAATGAGCAATGGCAAAGTCTCCCTAAAACGCCATCTTTGAATATATACCATGTTGGCATATCTATCTTGGTAAATTGTTCTTCCAATAATTATTCTAATTTTCATTGATTATGTATGAAATTAACAATAATTTTGGAACAAAAATGATAACTTTATTTCAATTTAGATTAAGAGTTTTAACTTTGCTTCTTTAACTTCCAATCTTGCTCTTGGCTTCTATTAATGATACTTTCAATGGAAGCCAAACTAATATTCACTCTGTTGTCTTTTGCTCTCATTCATTTGGCCCCCGTTGCTCTCTCCTTTCCACAGGATCATGCACTGCCTCAATACCTCTTTGACAGTTTCCCTTGAGTTTGCAATTTAACTTTTTTTTTTATATCAAGCTAACAATGGCAACTTTCTTTCCTTCTATATAGTGATTTTTTTTTTCTCTTGGTCCTTAAATCACATTCAATAGCCTTAACATAACATTCTTTATGTTGAATAACTCTGTCAAAGACTATGAAAAAAATATCAAGATCTTTGATGCACTTTGCCAATTTTATCTCAGAAATAACAGTATAATGATTAACAGTATAGGCTTCAGACAAAGATGACTGAATTTGAATCCTAGTTTTTATACATTGTGTGTACTTAGTTATGTGACTTTAGGAAAGTTACTGAACTACTTTAACACTCAATTTTTCTTATCTTTATAATATAGATAATAATAAAAACTACCTCATATGGTTGTTATGAAGATTAAATGAACAGATACATGTAAAATGTGCAACAGTGACTGATGTAAATTTGGGTATTATTATTATAACTTATCTTTCCTAGATATTTTCTGTTGTCCATCGAAGAGTGAATAAACATATTGGTCATTTCATGTATCTTCCTACACTGCTTATCTCTTAACAAGTATTTATAAATGTATGGGGGAGATATTATTTTTTATAAGAAAAGTATTAACAGCAAACCTGTAACCCTTTCCCTCCAGAAGTCAGATAAAAACCTGTCAATAAATAGCCCAGAGGACATCTATTTGTAAACAGACTTTGACCTTATCTATCTCATAAGCATGTTAATGGTATTTGCTAATGGAAAATATATTGAGGTGTCACCAGTTATAAAATATTTTAGAAGGATATACCTAGTCTCCCAAGATTGGCAGCTTATTTTACACAAATCTGGACTTAACTGATTCAGGGGACATGGGTAGAAAACAGGATATAGTTACATAAGCCTGTGTATATTTGTGTAGTCAAGTGTATAAATCATAATCCCCAAGAGAAAAAAAAAACTTCCTTCTTATGATCAATATTTCTCTTTACATAGCTCGAAATCTTCACTGCTAATCGGAAGCAAAATACTTCCCCAATACGAGTGTGAAAATTAAGATACAGAAGAAATGAGATCAAAGACTAGGAGAGAATTTTCACCCACTTACACATACAACAGAATCCAACAGGAATAAACTTTGCATCTCAGACAGGAAATGATGCAAAGACTAGAAGTCTCCTTCTTACCCAGAAGCAGCTCAGTTAATGAGAGAGTGCCATAACCCCACAAAGGAAAAGCTACTCTACTTCAAACTCCCAGATTTATCCATGACCTCTTTGTTTATAACAGGCCCTTTCAACACTATATAAGAACAAATTTTTTCTTTTGTTCTGGGGAAGTGAGCTTCAAATTTGCTTTGAGATCACAAATCAATAATTGCTTTTTCTTATTGTTTTTCCCAATAAAACCATTTTTCTGGTGAAATAACAGTCTAATTATCTGTTTGAGGTCAGTGTGAATGAAGATGACTTTGGAAGTTGCACCTGGTGATTTCAGAATATATCACAGGAAAAAGTCTCATGTGTACATGATACTTGTTTTGAATCATTAGGTAAGATAAATAATGTGTGGTAATATATGCCTACATATATTACCTACATATATTACCCACACACGTGTGTAGTGAATGCATCTATATTTGTACATATATATGATTATATATATAATTTGCATGATTCTGATTAAGAAGTTCAATTCTGAAAATGAAAATGGGGTAATTTATTATTTCATGCTTTGTTACATAAAGATTTATTAAAGTTCTTAGTCAATGTTCTAGATACCCAGAGTACTAGATTTTGGTTAATAAAAAAAAATATTTATTGTCAGTGGCTTTCCTTGGTATACTTAAGTTACCAAACATCAGGAATTTATTTGGGTACATGATATAAAGTTGATTTTAATACAAAACATTTAACAGTTCCACTTTGTAACAAAATATAGTGCTAAGCTTGGTATATATCACTAACATGCTCTCAATTAAGGTGTTTCCAATCATAATCTATCTCACAGTCATAGAGTCTACCAGTTTTTGACATACCTCATTGAGCCTTCTTTGAACATTTCCTCCTTGTTTTTCTCTTTTACAAGGTTCATAGAATGAATTCTGTCACATTTTTGTAGCTTTGTTTCATTTGAAAGCAACTCTTGGTTTTTGTTTTATGTGATTTTTATCCTTTGTTTTCATGTCATCTTTCCTCCCCTGCTCTCTGAATATAGGTGCTAAAAATGGTACCTATCAGACTGAGAAGATTCCAAAGATGATAGGATACTGTGAAAATACTTCTGAGACCAAAAAAGGAAAGAATGGGAAGATATTAAATGTGATACTTTGAATGTAAAAATAATGGCAGACAAAAATAATTGTAATGTGTCAAGTGAAGATTGCTAATACAGTATGGAGACAAATGGGCTTCTATGTCTTCTTTTAGGAAGCCAGGAAATGGAATAGTATCTCTCTTCATCAACTCTTGATCAGTATTCCAAAAGAAGTTTTTATGGATATTTTATGAAATAAATTGTGGAAAACAAGTCACAGATGTGCTGAGTTAAATAAAGTTAAATAAATTACATTAGAGCTTTACAGTTCAGTGTTTAAAATGCTAATAGCCTATTGAAATCTCCAACAGGAGAAACATCAAATGGGACTTTTCCCAGTGGAACACTTCTTTCTCATGAGACATCTATCAGTCTTAGAGAAGTTGATTGTTTCATGGGATACAGTTTGAGGAACTTTGCTTTACAATATCCATTATTATTCTGCTGGCTTGCTTTCTTCTGTCAACAAGTTGCTATTACTAATTCCCAGTGTCCTGAGAGGTTTGCCAGTCAGCTGTTTGTCATTCAGTTGACTGAATAAAGAAATTGAGTTCTTTTTTGTATGTATAAAGGCTTGCATGAATATCAGGGAGCAGTCTGAAAAGTATCAAGAGACAAAATGAAAATGTTCTTTTTCTGATATGTGATTCAGCATTCCCCATACACTGAAGACTACCTTTTTCTTGTCTTTGAATGACGAAAGTATGATCTCTTTTCCCTGTTGGTTTTCAGGTTTGTTGTAACATTCACAATGTGACTCACTTGTTTCATTCCTTAATATCAGGTATCTAATATATATATCATGTTTAAATTACAATAAATAACTGTTTCGGTGCAAATATTATTGGCAGTATCGAATGCCACACTTTTATTCTGCTATTCCAAAACTTGGTTTTAATTGTATCTCCAATTTTCCATCTTTCTGATTCAAAAGAATAAATATTGCATAACAGGTTACAACTGCTCATAGCAATAACTTACATTACTTTACATACTTGTCTATTTGCAAATTGCCATGTTTCCCTTATTGTACAGTATGTAGAAAGTGACTAATTTGTTTGACCATCTTTATTGAGTTAGCAAAGCTCTTTAAAATATGTCCTTTAACTTCTCAGTCATCTTACATTTATAAATGATAGCTTTCTTCTATAATATGTGATAGGTTACCAAATTCATGAATATTTGTATCTTCTCTATTTTCTCCTATTTCAAATTAACATATTCTGGTGAACCGAAACAATAATGAAAAATATTGGTAACTGAATGTTCCTTGGATTTTTTTTCTCAACTACTTACTGATTTGTGTAAATGGGTATTTGCTCTGCAATTCTAAAATTCCAATCTTTTGTATCCAGAGTTAAAAACAAGTGTTTATGTTCACCTTTAATTGGCTCTTCTTGGGAAATGATTAACTTGTTAATACATATGCTTTTCAGGAAGTACAATTTTATTTCAACTAAGTGATATTGAGAACACAGTTTTTCTGAAATGCAACATATGTTCAACTTTACGGCATGTCCCACTTTCTAGGTAATAATATTATTTATGTAGATTTATTTCCTTCCAAACTGGCTAAGATTTTTTTCCAAACAGCTTTAGAGGCATATAGAATGTTTTAATAGTTATGTAATATAAAAAAAATGTTACAAATATATATGTGTGTGTATGTGCATGTCAGAAAGTGAAAGTTACTGGATGGTTTCCCTCATTTGAGGAATTTAAATAATACAGACAGAAAACTGACAAAGCACAACAAGAATAATTCTTAGACTATTTGAAAAATAAACTTGTTACCTGACAGAATGGAGGTAAAGTAGGATGGGACAGGGTAAGGGAGGCAATAAGATACAGCTTTAGAGTTTTGGTGCAGGGTGAGTAAAATATATGCATGTATGGAGGTATGAAATCATACCCCCCAAATTATATATTTAAGTAAATGACAAATAAAAAAAAAGAAACACATAAAGAACCAAAGGAAAAAAAAAACAAAAACAATTGTCATGGGTAGTAGATAAGCATAAATACTAAATGAATAAGATAAATAAGCTTATGAACAATTAGCATCTTAAATTAGAGATCAAATTTATTTATTATATTTATTTTGTATTGTATTTTCATCTTATCTTCATAATCTAGTTCAGTAAGGTTTATTGAATAAATGGTTATACAAATGCTTAGAAACAAAAGCTTATTGAGTAAATGATTAAATAAATAATAGATGAGTACATCAAAATATGATTTTCTCTATATCTATACAGTATAGACATCACTATTATTATAATATGGTGTTTACTACATAATATAGAAAGATATATAAACATATATGTTTGCCTATATGTGAATATGTACATGACACATGGATGGTATCATATACACATATGAATGCATATATAGTGAGAGTGAGACTCTTACATCAATGCAGATGAAATAAATATGAAAATCAACAAGATTTTTAACTATTCATTTATTCAAAAATATTTGTGGAAAAAATTCTGAATATCTGCTACATGACAGGTATAAGGTTAATGCTCTTACTATATTCTCAGTTTCATAGACTCCAGAAGAATATATCTCCAAAACTTTCTTGCATGAAATGTTTCTTCAAGGACAATATGTTAATAGAAAAATTAAAAATTAATTCTGTCTACAGACTAAATGACAAGAAACTAAAAATTTGGTGACTTCAAAAATGCAAAGTAAATTAAATATATATATATATATAACAAGAACACATAGAAATAAAAATAATATAAATGAAATATATTCAAACAGGCCTTGGTGGAACTGAAAAATGTAAGTGAAAACTGACAATTATTGAAGACATATTATATGTATACTATTGGTTTAATATCAAGAACACAGAGATATTAGTACCTCATTTTTCTGTATCTGAAAATTTCTTTCTATTTGTCTTCCTAAATTTAGAGATTTTTCTAAGCATACATTAATAAGGTAAATTTTAAATGTTGTAACTGCTCTATTTGACTCCATAAAAATTTATAAACTGTAAGAGATACAGTTTAGAGACATTGACAAATATAAATTGCAAACAACCTTTGTAATATATGTGACAAGTAGTTTTAACTATTAATGTGTAAATTCAAATGTATCAGTAAGTTTATTTAAATATATAATATTAATGGCTACTCACATACAATAAATACGAGTGCAAATAAACTGATGAACAATATCCAACTCATTCAAAGTCATACAAATTAAAAAAATGATTTTGCATTCAATCATAGCAAATAAAATTTTGATTATTGTTAATACTTGCTAGAGGAAGGTGAAATAAAATTAATCAAGTAATGATTAAAATTAATCATTAATTATAAAAATTTTGCATTGACTTACATCAAGCATATTTGTCCAGTAGATCCCAAGATAAACAAAAATGAAAAGATCAAATGTTGTGACATATATATTTTTATCAAATTGAAACCAGAAATGGAAGAAAATACAAAGTTTTCATATCTCTGTAAGTAAACTTAAGAGTTTATTAAATAAACTTTGTAAAAGGAAAGTATATGATGATTTCTTTTTCTTTTTCGTTTTCTTTCTTTTTTTTTTTTTGCATAGAAGAATTGGGATGTAGGCCAGAGGTGCAAGGGGTGAGAGGATTCACCAAAGACAAAGTAGGGGAGAGAACAGTTAGATTTACTAAAATATATTGCTGAGGGGAGCAATGGGGAAGACAGGATAGGTCTGTTGCATTATATGTGGGTTAGCTCCCTGGCTGTGGATTGAACTCAGGCAGAGTGGTAAGAGCACTGAGACTTAACCCCTAAAACACCAGGGAGGGCAACATCTGATGATTTCTAATGTGATCAATCTTGAATTATTTCTCAGGGCTATCCACATGCTATGTGAGAAGCCAAATCCTACACAAAATTGCTGAGTATGAAGAGCACAAATCTTCTGATAAAAGTTTGCAAATAAAGAGACTTCTAATTCATCAGAGACTCATATAATCATATATTAAAATTTTGAGGAATAAATAATGAATTGGGAAAATGCTGACAACATATGAAATGAAAATATGAACATTAAAACAAAAATAAAACAAAACATTTTAATTTTTTCCGAACTATTTATTTGTTTATTCACACAGTATGTTAGTAGTCATTATCTTTGAGTTGATACACAATTTTTATTTGTGCCTGTGATATTTTTTCTTCTATTTTATTTTTCAAATTTTCTATCAAATTTATCAGATATATTGCATATATAAT